TATTATTATATATATATATATATATATATATATATATATATATATATATATATATATATATTATTATAATATATTTTTTTTACTTTATTGTAAAGATTGATTCGTTCGTTATTTATTAAATAACTCTCAGACTCAGTTTGCAAGGGGCGAAAATTTTTTTTTGGGGAACCATTAAAAAAAAATTAACTCGAATGTTTATTTCAATCAAGAAACCCTAATTATATAATATAATATTAGAGAAACAATTACTGAAAAACGTGTAAAACTGTAACTCTATTAAAATTTAAACCGTGAAATAATAATTTACAAAAAAAATTTTTTTTTTTTTTTGAATCTGTCATGATAGCCATTTGAAAAATTTGAATTCAGTCAAAAAATTATTAAAAGCAATTCAAATTTTTGTACACTTAGATTTGTGTTAAACGCATAAAATATAAAAAAAAAAATTTAATTTCGTTCTATTTGTTAAATCTAAAATGACAAAGACTATATAATTAATTTTATTGTGTTTTAATCGCAAAATAATTTTTTTTCTCTCTCCCTCCCCCCTTCCCCCATAAAATTAATTTATAATTGTTTTAAATTTATTTATTTTTTTTTTTTTTTAAATGTGAAAGTATAAATTGAATTTTTCTTGCTGGTTTTTTTTTTCAAAAAAAAAAAAAAAATAAATAAAAAATAAAAGAATTAAGTTTCGGAAAACTGGGCGATGACCAAAAATGGACTCGCATAAAAATTGTGAGAAGAAGATTAGAATTTAAATGACCGAGATTTTATTATTTTTTTAATAACATTTAACGTCAGCTTACATTTAAATATTTTTTCCTAGATGCTGACGTTTGGCTTTCGTTTCTTTTCTTGTTTTTTTTTTTTTTTTATTTTTCGAAAACAAATTTAAAAATATCTTGGCAAGCTTTTTTTACTCTCTCACTTTGAATTTGTTCTCATGTAAAAAAAATTTTTTAGATTTTTGGTAGTCTGATTCATTTTCATTCAGGGGGCCCTCTCGTTTCCCCCCCCCTCTCTCTCTCTCTGTTTTAAAACAAAAAATTATTATTATTATTAACTTAATAACTTAATATGCCTTTATTTGATAACATGATGTTATTATCATTGAAATTGTTTTTACTGTTTTTTAATTCTCATTGAATTTTTTTATTATTATTATTATTTATTTGAAGTTCTTTATAATAATAATAATAATAATATGTATATATTTTTTTCGTAGCATACATAACTCTATAAATAACTTAAAAATAAAAAAAAATAAAAATTTAAAAACAAATAAAAATTAAAATTAAAGCTTTTTTTTTTTTATTGCTAAAAGAACAGAAAATAAAAAAAAATTTATGTAACATTAATATTATTAATTGCCTTACGTAATTAAATAAATTAAAAGTTTTTGGCATTATTATTATTATTATTAATATTAGAAATAGGATCACATTAAAAAAGCGTAAAAAAAAAAAAAAAACTTATTCACAAAGCAAAGTCAAAATTTAAAAGAATTTAAAAAAAAAAAAAAATTGGCAATTTTGCAGAAGAAGAAATAAAAAAAATAATTTTTCCAAGTTTCATTATCAGACACATTTTATCATTACGTTGTAGATTTTTTAAAAAATTTTTAATATAAATGTTTAAAAAAAAAAATTTAAATTTAAATTATTCTTTTCTACTTTATTTAATTGTAGTTATTACGTTAGGTATATTCCTCATTTGAATCGATCAGTCAATCAATCAATCAATCAATCAATCACGAGAAAAAAAAAAAATTTTTTAATTATCACTTAATAGGCTCATTGATTTTTTTTATGCATTGTTTGTCATTTATTTATTTTTTTGCAATAAAATAAATAATAATAATAATAATAATATTCAAATTCTATATTTTAGCTTGGTGCGGTGGAAATTTTATTTAAAATCGAGTAAAGTTTCCAACCGTTAATTTTTTTTTTTTTTTTAAAATACTATTTTATATTTTTAGTTTTCATTTTTTTGAATAAAATACAAGTATTGGGTTAAATTGTTTTAAGGGGGAGGGGGAGCGAACATTTATGCATACACATTGTATATTATTATATTGTTTATTATACTTTTTAAAAAAAAAGTTTCTCTCTATTATAATGTATTTAATCATTAGCCACTTGTGTTTGTTGTACGTGACTTTTTTTTTTGTGGTGTCAATATCAATAAAGTTTTCATTTTCCCGAGTCCATTTTCAAATTTTCTTCGATATCATTATTATTATTATTATTATTGATAACCCAACACTTTTCACGTAACGAAATAAAAATTTGTAAAAATTTTACTTATATATATATACGACTCATTGATTTTCTTTGTTCCACTTTTTAATAGTTGATAACGCATATCGTTTTTTTTTTTTTTTTTTAATAAATATTTTCGAAATTTTTTCTATGTTTTGTTTCGAAATCCAAATTTATTATCATAGTAGAATTAAAAAATTTCAAAATAATTGATTTGATTGATTTCGATTTTGGTTTAAATAATTTTTAAAATCTCAAGTAATTTTTTTTTTTTTTTTTTTTTTTTTTTTTCCAAACATTTACAGCTTGGGGTAATTCTCACCTTAAAAAAGCTGGAACCGCCATTGAAAATATCGAAAAAGATTTTCGAAACGGTTTGAAACTCATGTTGCTTTTAGAAGTGATCTCTGGAGAAACACTTCCAAAGCCTGATCGTGGTAAAATGAGATTTCACAAAATTGCCAACGTCAACAAAGCCCTGGATTTTATTGCCAGCAAAGGTGTTAAATTGGTGTCCATAGGAGCCGAGGGTATAAATTTTTTTTCTTCAAGTAATTAAAGATTAGATTTTAAACAACATTTAATATATATATTTTTTTTTTTTTTCTAGAAATCGTCGATGGAAACCTGAAGATGACTTTAGGTATGATTTGGACAATTATTTTAAGATTTGCCATTCAAGATATAAGCGTCGAAGAGATGACTGCAAAAGAAGGTTTATTGCTTTGGTGTCAAAGGAAAACGGCTCCTTACAAAAATGTCAACGTTCAAAATTTTCATCTCAGGTTGATTTCACCACCTTCATCCTTTTCTTTTTTTTTTTTTAAATCAAATTTACAATTTTTCATAATTTTTTATTTATTTATTTTTTTTCAGCTTTAAAGACGGTTTGGCTTTTTGCGCTCTCATTCATCGGCACAGACCAGATCTCATCGACTATAACAAACTTTCTAAAGATAATCCTTTAGAAAATTTGAACACGGCTTTCGATGTTGCTGAAAAGTATTTAGATATTCCGAGAATGTTGGATCCAGAAGGTAGTTAGCTAACTAGTCGGACATTAAAAATAATTTTTTCTTTCACAATTTCTTACATTATAAGATACGTCAATCCTACGCTCTTTTATTATCAAGTTCACTTTCATAATCTTGTATTTTATTATCAGATTTGATCAACACACCAAAACCCGACGAACGAGCTATTATGACTTACGTCTCCTGCTATTATCATGCTTTTCAAGGCGCTCACCAGGTATATCTTGGAGAGTTTGATTTTATTTTATAATTTTATCGAATATTTAAAAAAAAATTTGTTGACTAATTTTCAAAGAGTTAATTGATTAATCAGATACTCGGAAAACAAAATTTGTGTTTATTAGTATATATAGCGGACGGAAAACTGTTTGTTTAGTTTTTTTAAAAAAAAAAATTACAATTAATCGACCTAATTTCTTTTTTTTTATTAATAATTTTCATTTCAATGGCATGAAAATTTTCTTTTTTTTTTTTTTAATGTCGTCATTTAAAATTTATTTATATTTACCAATTACTAATCCAAATTTTTTTTCGTGTCTGATGTTTATTTTTCTATTACATTATTTTTGATCAATTTACTTTTTTTTTTTTTTTTACAAGTTTTATCTGAAGTTTTAAATTTATCTTGAAGAGAATTTAAATTATTATTATTATTATTTGGTAATAAACATAAAAAATTATTAAGGGTTATTTGACATTCCCTTTCATACCTTATAAAAAAATAAAGCATTAAAATGATTTTAAGGCTTCAGATAAAATAAAGATATTTTAAATTTTGCTTTTACTAAAAACTTGAACACAATTTTTTTTTTAACTAATACTGATCGTTTAATACTGATGCAATTGTTTGTTTTTGTTGTTTGTTTGTTGCAAATTAATAATAGATATGGTGACAACTGCAAAGCCGGATGAAAGAGTCGTCATGACTTACGTTTCATCTTATTATCACACATTCTCCGGAAAGCAAAAGGTATTTAATAATTAAATATTGAAATGAAATGTTTTACTTGTAAGTTTACACCTTACGAGTACAAAAAATTTAACCCTCGTCTTTTATAAACAATGATTGATTTGTAAACAACAAAAACTCAAATTGATTTTTTTTTCCATGGTAGTAATATCATTGATAAATACCTTTTTTAATTATTGTTTGCATTTATGTATGTATTAATTTACAATTTACATAATAATTATTTTACTATTTCAGGCTGAAACAGCTGCAAATCGAATTTGTAAAGTACTTAAGGTCAACCAAGAGAATGAACGTCTGATGGAAGAATATGAAAGACTTGCAAGCGACGTATGTTTTCAAAGAAATTTCAAAAAAAAAAAAAAAAATACACACATAAAATAAAGTACTCAGAATATTCATTTTAACTTATATAATTTTAGCTATTGGAATGGATTAAAAGAACTATGCCGTGGTTGGAATCGAGGCAAACAGACAATTCTCTGGCTGGGGTTCAAAAGAAACTCGAAGAATACAGGACCTATCGTAGAAAGCATAAACCCCCTAGGGTAGAACAAAAAGCGAAACTCGAAACGAATTTTAACACTCTTCAAACAAAATTGCGACTAAGTAATCGTCCGGCGTACATGCCAACTGAGGGTAAAATGGTAAAAGATATTGCCAATGCTTGGAAAGGATTAGAAACTGCTGAAAAATCCTTCGAAGAATGGTTACTGTCTGAAATGATGAGGTGTGAAAATTACTTTATTTACTTTATTTAAAAGAAGTTGTCCATGTTGCTAATGTTTTTATTCATTTCATCAGATTAGAGCGTTTAGAGCATTTAGCTCAGAAATTTAAGCATAAAGCGGATATTCACGAAGACTGGACAAGAGGGAAAGAAGAAATGCTTCAATCTCAAGATTTCAGACAGTGTAAACTCAACGAGCTCAAAGCTTTAAAAAAAAAACATGAAGCCTTTGAAAGTGACTTAGCTGCTCATCAAGACCGAGTCGAACAAATCGCTGCTATAGCTCAAGAGTTGAAGTAAACATTTGATATTTAAATATTTAAAAAAAAAAAGGGGGGGGAAATTTGTAAATAATTAATAAAATATTTTATAATTTTTTTTTTTTTTACAGTTCTTTAGACTATCATGACAGTGCATCTGTAAACGCTCGCTGTCAAAGGATTTGCGATCAATGGGATAGATTGGGAAGTCTTACTCAGCGCCGTTGTCAAGCTCTTGATGAAGCTGAAAGAATCCTTGAAAAGATTGATATTTTACATCTTGAATTTGCTAAAAGAGCTGCGGTAAGATAATGACAAACATTCTAGAATTTTACTTCAAATATCTCATTATTTTAAATTAATTTTGATGTATTTACTTGCAGCCGTTCAACAACTGGCTGGATGGCACGAGGGAAGATCTTGTCGATATGTTTATAGTACATACAATGGAAGAAATCCAAGGATTGATTGATGCTCATAATCAATTTAAAGCTACTTTGGGAGAAGCCGACAAAGAGTATAATTCTATCGTCGGACTCGTTAGAGAAGTTGAAACTATCGTCAAACAATATCAAATACCCGGAGGATTGGAAAATCCTTACACCGCTCTTACAGCTAATGTAATAATTTTCGTGCTGAGCTTTTGTATTCCCTCCCCCCCCCCCCGATGAACAAAATTTTTTATGATAATAATAATAATTAATTTATAGGATTTGGTTAAAAAATGGTCAGAAGTAAAACAATTAGTTCCACAAAGAGATCAAACCCTTCAAGCTGAATTTAGAAAACAACAAAATAATGAAATGGTGAGAAGGCAATTTGCGGAAAAGGCTAATCAAGTCGGTCCTTGGATCGAAAGACAAATGGATGCCGTCACTGCCATCGGTATGGGTCTTCAAGGTTCGCTCGAAGATCAATTGCATAGATTAAAAGAATACGAGCAAGGCGTTTATGCTTATAAGCCGCACATCGAGGAATTAGAAAAAATACATCAGGCCGTGCAAGAAGGAATGATTTTCGAAAATAGGTATAAATGTGATATATCATTCAAGTAAAATAATAATAATAATGATAATATAATAAAATGAATGAGAAATAAAATTTGTCATTTTGTTTTTCCCTTTTCTAGGTACACTCAGTACACAATGGAAACTCTTAGAGTCGGTTGGGAACAGTTACTAACGTCCATCAATAGAAATATTAACGAAGTCGAAAATCAAATACTAACGAGAGACTCGAAAGGAATCACGCAAGATCAATTAAATGAATTCCGAAGTTCCTTCAATCATTTTGATAAGAATCGTACTGGTCGCCTCGCTCCCGAAGAATTGAAAAGCTGTTTAGTTAGCCTTGGTTATTCCATCGGCAAAGACAGACAGGTTTTTAAATAATATAATTTTTTTAACTTGTTAAACGAGGAATGTTTTCAATAATTTTTTTTTTTTCTTGTCCAATCAGGGAGAAATCGATTTTCACCGTATTTTGGCCGTCGTAGATCCGAACAACAGCGGTTACGTAACGTTTGATGCCTTTTTAGATTTCATGACTAGAGAGTCCACCGACACGGATACCGCCGAACAAGTAATCGATTCTTTCCGTATTTTAGCGGGAGATAAGGTATTTCCGTATTTTTACATGAAATCAGGTATGTCATCTACTACACGAATTTTATTTTAATAAAAAAAAAAAATTTTTTTTAGCCTTATATTCTTCCCGATGAGTTGAGGAGAGAATTGCCACCGGATCAAGCTGAGTATTGTATCAAACGGATGCCGCCCTACAAAGGACCCAATGGTGTTCCCGGAGCATTAGATTACATGTCTTTCTCTACAGCACTGTATGGCGAATCAGATTTGTAAAACGAATAAAATAAAAAAATAGAAAAAAAAAACGCGGTTCAAACAAAAAAAAAAAAAAAAGAAATTTTAATTATTATGTGCCACGTACATATAAAATTCAAATTTTTTTGAATTTTTACCCTAAAAAAATATTTATTTATTATTATTATTATTATTTAATTTTTCGTTCTCTCAGTGTTTGGTTAATCTAAATATATATATATATATATATATATATATATATATATATATATAATTAAGGTACCTGCTTAACTTAAATGACGTTAACTTAATTGAAAATAAATTTTAAAAACGTCTTGGGAAAAAGAAAAAAATTCGAAATTATTATTATTATTATTAATTTTAAATGAAAAATAATAATTTTTAAATTAAATTTGTGCCAAAAAAAAAAAAAATTATTTTTTTAAGATCCCAGTAAATTTATTATTATTATAATTGCATTGTGTAAAAAAAAAAAAGAAAAAAAAAAACAAAAAAAAAAAAGAAAATGGTAGAATCTCAAAGAAAACTAGCAACATTCAAAATTTAAAAAAAAGGAGTCAATATTAATAATAATAATAATTGTTTAATTATAATTATAAAAAACCCATATCATTTTTTTTTTTTAAATTTTAATCAATGTTTAACTTATGGAAATTTTTTTTTTTTGGTTTCAATATGAATGAATTTTCAATTTTAACAAAACTAATTTTAAAGATTTATTATAATAATTATTAAAGAGAGAGAGGGAGAGAGAGAGAGAGAAAGAGAGAGTATTTATTGAGATTTTACCATAATTTTGTGAAAGTTTTTAATTTTGTGATTTTTTATTATTATTATTATTATCATTTTGGCTAGGAATTAATTAATTAATTTTATCTTTTTAAAAAGAGGGATAATGCCAGGTAGTTTTTTAAATATACTGGTAATTTAAAAAAAGGAAAAAAAATATTAAAAAAAAAAAAAAATTTGTTTAGTTTTGCGAATGTTTAATTTTTATTTTGTGTATTTTAAAAGAAATTTAACAGTTTATTTATTTTACATGTAATTATTTATCTAATTAAGCATATATTATAAAAAAAAGTATTTATAAAGTAAAATTAAATATTTTTTTTTTTAATACCTTACATAATATTTATTATGATGGATTTTTTAAGCAAATGTTTTATTAGATTTTTAATATGGCCGAATTCATTTTATTTATTCATTTTTAATTTCTTTTAACACCTGAAATTAAATGATTTGATATTTATTAGTGTGAATTGCTTTTTTTTATTGTAATTTTATTTGAAATTACTTTTTTACACAATGGCTTATCTTTAATTGAAATTTTAACGACTTTGATTAAGGAAAATTTTTACATTAACTGTATTAGGGACTTGAAACCAGAAAAATACCTGAACATTATCAATGTTCAGAATTTTTTCTAGAATAAACGTCTAGAAAAAACCGTTAAAAGTTCTTAAATTATATATATTTAATAAAATTTTGTTTTTAGTTTTATGCATAAATTCAACGAATTAAAATCAAATGAACTTTTGTAACTTCCTTAAATTGTTTGTAAATTTGGGAAGGCTATATATTTTAATAATTATTTGATTAAATGTTTTTTAATAATTAAAGCTTGTCATGTAAAAATATTTTCAAAAAATTTTTTTATAAAAAAAAATTTTTTGAATAAAAAAAAAAAAAGTCATAGAGATAAAAAAAAATCAAACGTTTGTCGTTAGCTAGATAAGTTGATCAGTTAAATTAAAATGGCGGAGAGTGAAACACTGTTAAGAGCGTTATTACTATTATTTGGAATATTTATAATATCAAATGCCGATGAAAATACTTTTAGGACAATAACCATTTCTAGTGATCTTATTAAAAAATTTAAAAACGATGATTATTTAAATGTTTTTAATGTAGAAAGTGAAATCGAAAATATAACGACTAAACGAATGAACAAGTCGTTACACTTTCAGAAAAGAAGAGTGCAGAATTCTGAAAATATAGATACAAAGGCAAGTTTTAAAACATGACTTTACATATATTATTTGATTATCTTAATGAAATTCTATTATTTAAATATGATATTTTGCATTCTTCCTTTCTTAATTTTATAAATTTCATTATTATGAGCACTTAAAAATGTCTTATTTGAAACACTCATTCTTTGATATCATATTTTTTTTAAACATTAACAATAAGCTTTTTAATCATAACCACCAATGGTTTGTATTAGTATTGTAACATTATTTGCTTTTTTATGTTTGCCTCATTAAATTTTAAGTAAATGATTCATATCATGCACAACTATATTATTAATCTTTTTTCCTCGATATGCCTAATTAATAAGAAAATAATTAATTAATTATTCGATAATCAAAAAAAAACTAAATTTGTTTATTAAGTATATGATATTTAAATTTTTTTTTAAAAATTTCAATTTATAATAAATTTGAAGTAAAATCAAAATTAAAAATTTTTGCTTATAAGAAAATTTTTTTAAAAAAAAATTTATTATTTTTTACCATTAGACATTATTAGTTTCTGTTTGAATTTGCACTAAACTAAGCAAAACTAAATTGCTTGCAAATGAATTTTTTTTTTTTTTTTTGTTTTAATCGTAAATATTTGTTTTGTGTAATGCTTTCATTTAATTTAAATTTTGTTTTTTTTTTCCTCCCCCTTTTTTTATATTATATTTTAAAGAATTAAAATTAATTTGCTTTTTAAATATATATTTTCAATTAATTTTGTATTTTTACTTCATGCCGCTTTGATGTTAATGAATTTGTTAAAATATTAAAATTTAAAAGCATTTTATAACATTTCGAAGATTCCTTTTTTGTAATTTCAGTGCAATGTATATAGTATCAATGATGTCGATATAATTGTTTTACATTTAATGATTTTTATATTATTACCATAAAATAATTATTTTTATTTTGAATTTTTTACTTTAATGATTAGATTTAAATGTACTTTATTATTTTTAAAAAATTCATTTTGGTATTTTTATGTTTAACTTTATTGATATAAGATGTTTTGAGCTATGAGATAAAAAAAAAAAAAAAAATACTTTTTATGAGTAAGCTGTGTTAGTAATTGTCACGTGCTTGTAATGACTAACGTGCTCGAGGAATTAGTTCATTTCTGACTTTATTTCCCCTTAAAAAAAAAAAAAAAAAAAAAAAATTTATATAGTTGTTTTTTCCATTTAAATTATTATTATTATTATTTTTATTTTTATTCCCACATATATAATCGCTACGGGTTTCACGTATTTGTTTCAGAGTTTTTCAACGTTTCATTCCAAGCTTTTTTTATATTTTATTCTTTAATAACGAATAAATAAATTTAATTGTTGCTATCAGTAAAAACTTTCAAATAAGTTGAGTCATCCCACTTAACGACTTTTTTTTTGGTGAAAAATCTTCTTCGAGTATCTTTTCAGCAGTCATTGTGGCATGACTCCAAGAATTATTTCCATTTTCATTTCTCATACCCAGGAAATTTAAATTTTCGAATCCCCCTATATTTCAAAGCTTTTTCCGCTTCTTCGTTAATATTATTATTATTATTTCCTATACAATACTAATAAAATTTAAGTTTATTTTATTTTAAGGGAATAACGTATGTTGTGTTCATGAATGTGTTTTTTTTTTGTTAATGTTGCTTGCTTCCAAAATGATAAAGAAATTTCTTTAAATCATTACTAAATATAATAATACGTTGATGTCATTAGAATTTATAGATAATTCTCATGTCATATATTCATTCTTTCTAGAAAATGATAATTTATTTATTGAATTGTTGAATTGGGATTTGAAAGACTTTATGAAATAAAAACAAAAAAAATGGAAATTTTGTGAAATGAACTGAATAAAATTTTAAGCAAGTGTTTTGCTGTTGTTGTTGTTGTTTGTTTTAATTGTATGATGTGAAACATTTGTTTGTTTGAAGCTTTGTTTTTATTTTACCTATTAAATCATTCATGATATTATTCATATTATTATATTATTAAGATTTTGCTGTATTGTAAAAGAGGATGTTATCCTAGGCCATTGACCAAAAGGATGACAGGTATTAACTTGCCACCCTTGTGGCTTGAGTGTTTGCCTCTACAAGGATTTGTAATTTAACTAATTTTTTTTTTTTTTAAATAACGAATATAAAAAGATAATTTACTTGGGATGTAATTAAAAGATCATTATGCAAAAGTAAATTTTATTGCAGGAAATGGTACTTTTTACAATAATTTTTTTTTTTGTCTCTATAATTAGTAGTAAATAAATATCACAGCATTACCAAATGCTGTTTGGTAAACAGTATTTGTATTTATTTTAAATTTGGGTCAAATGTTTGAAGCAAATTTTATTAAAAATCCATTAATTTAGTTTGGAAAATAAAAAAAAAAATTTGCAAGTTTTTTTTGATTACTTCCACGCTCCCTATATTTTTCTATCTTAATTACCCTAGTTTTTTTTTTTTTTTTTTTGCAGATAACTCAGTTAAATGACACTCATCAGCAATTAATGGTTCGATGGGTAGGAGTAGGAAGTGATGTTATTATATGTTTGGCCAAAAGCCCTCGAAGTAACATTCCTTCTGCGTTATACATTTCATATGACTACGGAGATACATTTGAAAACAAAACGGATCAATTTTATATAAATGACGGCAAAAAAATTTATGCCAGCTTAGATAAGTTTTATAATCATCCAACGTACATCAACCATGTTAGTTATTTATTCTTTCCTTTTTTATTTTTTTGCTTATATCCGACTATTTAATTTGTTTTTTTTTTTTTTTTTTTTTGTAGATTGTATTTGCAGATATTGTTAATAGAGTTATATTTACGACCACCGATAGTGGAAAAACAATTAAAAAAGTTAATCTTCCATTCAGTCCCACGGATATATCTTTTCAGGAGGATGAACCTTACACGATTTTAGCCCACGATAAAACAAAAATTACTAGAGAAGTACGTTTTTCTTTTTATTTTAAAATTTTTTGTGAAATTTTATTTTTATTTTTTAAATTAATTCTTTTTTTTTTTTTTTTACACTCAGTTATGGTTAACCAAAGACTTTGGTCAATCTTGGGATCCTATTCAGCAGTCAGTGAAAACATTTTATTGGTCTGGATCTTCAACCCCAAGCAGTCTTCCCCAAACCCCGAATATAATTCCTATGAAAGGCTATACTTACAATAATGACACAAGGTGAGTGTTTTAAATCGTGATTACGTATTGCAAACAACTTAAAAAGGGATAATTTATAAATTCTTTAACATCGAATTTTAGTTTATTATTATTCATCGAAAGAATTGAACCTTCACAAAAATCTACCGTACTCTCAAGTCCATTCGGGAACAATATTAAAGTCTGGATGTCTGACGTTGAAGATTTCAAACTCATTGGCGATTTTATGTTTGTCATCAAAGCTGCTGGCCAAGTATTTATTTATTTATTTATTTTTTCATCTAAATTTTTGGGAGTCTATTTGTCTTATTAATCATAAAATATATCATTGCAGAATAATTTAGATTTGTATGTGTCTTTTAAAAGGGGAAAATTCGTCAAAGCAATTTTCCCTTCCGAGTTAAATCGTTTAGGCTATCATTTCTTGGACGTTTCGGAGGGTCAAATTTTCGTAGCAGTTTCTCACACCGAAACCGTGTCTAATTTATATTCATCCCAAGCCATGGATGGCAATCATATATATTTTGCTTTATCGTTAGAAAGAATACTTTGTTTTTTACCGAATTCAACGTGGAAAGGTTCATGGTTGTCGTAAGTTAAATTAAATTTTTTTATTTCGCTCACTGAAATTATAGGTGAGATATAATATAGTAAATATGACTAATTGTTTAAGAGGTGTGACGGAAGAGTCTTTTGCTGATTTTCATAAAGTGGAAGGCCTTCGCGGAATATATATAGCGTCTCAAGTTCAGCCGACGGCCGATTCAAATAATATAACACCTGAACATTTGTTAACTTTAATAACGTTTGACAGAGGAGGAGAATGGAGGCCTTTGACTCCTCCTTCGGTCGATGACGACGGCTATCCTATTAAATGTGATGCAGTAAGATTTTTTTTTTTTTTTTCTCATTAGTAAATGTTTATTTTTTTATATTTTTTAACGGCTTAGAATTATTTCAGAATGATGGATGTTCATTACATTTGTCACAAAAGTTTAATCAGTTGTACCCAGCTATTAGATCAGTGCCGATTTTATCATCGAAATCAGCTCCAGGTATTATTATGGCAACTGGAACAATTGGAAAATCTTTAAAAGGTCACCCAAAAGTTTTTCTCAGCCGCGACGGTGGTTTAACTTGGCGTCAGGTATATTTTCCCGAAAAAAAAAAAATTTCAAAATTGAAATCTCACCGTATTTAATTAATAAAAATTTAATAAAACATGATTTAATTAATTTCAGATATTGAAAGATTACTATTTTTTCAATTTCGGGGATCATGGCGGAGTGCTCGTTGCAGTTAAATTTTACAGGAGTAATGTTGAAACCAGGGAATTACTTTATTCTACCGATGAAGGAGAAAAATTTTCGAGTCACGAATTTCATTCTGAAAGTTTAAGAATGTATGGTTTGATGACGGAACCAGGTGGAAACACGACTGTTTTCACCATGTTTGGAAGTCCTGTCGGGGTTCATCAGTGGTTAATAATAAAAGTTGACTTGAGAAACGTATTTAGTAAGTTATTCTCAAAATTTTTAAACTTTTTTTAATATTTAAATTTAAAATTTAGCAAAGTTTTAGGGAGAGTTGCTTTTTATTTTTTTTTCTCTCTCTCTGCATAAAGGAAAATAAAAACCATTTTTGAAAACTTTGAACTAATTAGTTAGTTCCAAAACATTTGAATTTAAATGTAACAAGTATTCTGCTTTTTCATAACAAAAAAAAAAAAATATTTATGAATTATGTGGATGAATAAATGTAAGAAATGATTTCAACGCTTGCACCATTCAACTTTATATATTTTCTAATACTTTTTTCAATAATCGACGAGTCATTTTCGTTCAGATGTTATCATAAAGAACCTCTTCAACAACCCGTAGTAATTGACTGTTCTGCAGTCGGGGGAGAGGAATGTTTAACTTGCATGTGTCCAGTTAAAAATGCTCCCAAAAAATTGTATCAAATTAAAGAATGTTCTAAGAATAGTTTTACAGTTGAAAAATTGAAAAGATGTAAAGATTGTGCAACATGTAAAACTGATCTTTGCAATGGTGACTTCCCTAAAAAGTCATCAGTCTCGTTTTCAAAGTTTTCAAAAAAATTTAAAATACGATCGAAAAAAAAATCTGATTTCAAATAATTTATAAAATAATTTCATATCCATATTATTATTATTATTATTATTATTATTATTAATATTTAATTTCTATATTCGCGTGCGTGATTTGTGTAAAAACATTTTTGCGAGGCATGTTTCATCATAACTTTCTTTCGAAGGAAAACTTTATGCCTAAACCTTAAATGAATAATTAAAAATCGGTGAGAAAATAATTACTTGAAATGTTTTTTTTTTTTTTTTTTACAGCAAAAAAAAAATTGTAATTTTTTTATTTTCACTGTATGATTTAATAATAATAATAATAATAATAATTTTGAATTTGTATGAGTTTTATTAAAATGAGTTTTTAATATTTTAGGTTATAATTGTACGGAAAATGATTACAAATTTTGGTCACCGAGTAGCAAATCAGGACCCAAAATGCCTTGCATTCTCGGGAGAAAGGAAACCTACGAAAGAAGAATAGCTCATTCAAATTGTTACAATGGTAAAAATTACAACAGACCCATTAAAACGGAAATATGCGAATGCGACTTTGAAGATTTTGAATGGTGAGTAATTTTTTTTTTAATTACGATTTTCTCAATGAAGTTTTAATTAAAAAGAATGTCGTGTGCATTACATTTTTTTTTTTTTTCTTTTAGTGATTACGGATTCTTACGAAGCATGACCCTTCAACACTGCATTCGTAATAAAACATTTGAAAATAACCCTTATGAGATACCATCATTTTGCCGTCCTGGAGAGTTTTACAATAGAACAAAGGGATATAAAAAAATTCCCGGGGATGTATGTATTGAAGGATTAGAGCGTAATTATCTTCCGGATATGCTACCGTGTCCATTGAAGTACTTTAAATATTTTTATTTATTTTTTTATTTAAAAAAAAAAAAAAAAACCAACGTGACTAATATTTATTATTTATTTATTATTATTGTTATTATTAGAGAAAAAAGAGAATTTCTTCTTGTTGCTCAAAGGGATCAAATCAGTAGAATTGATTTAAAAGATTTTAGCGTTGAGAAGTTACCAGTATTGAATTTAAAAAATGTCGTAGCCATAGAATTCGATATGAGGAATAATTGCGTGTATTGGGCCGATATAGTTTCCGATGTAGTAGGGGTAAATAAACCTTTTTTTTTTTTTTTTTGAAAAAAATTGTAAAGGTTTGTAAAGGTTTTAGTATTCGCATTTAAAAAAAAAAAAAAAAAAATTTCAGCGTCAATGTTTTAATAATGGATCTTCAAGTCCGGAAATTTTAATTCAAAGCCAATCGTCTTCTATAGAAGGTATGGCTTTAGATTGGGTCTCGAATAATTTGTATTTCGTCGACGGAATGAAAGCTGAAATCGAAGTCATTCGTACGGATATCAGTCATCAGGGCCGTATGAGGAAAACAATTCTGGGAAAGAAGCATTTGAAGAAGCCTAGAGGAATAGCCGTTCATCCGACGGCAGGGTTGGTAGTCTACCATCTTTTCATCACGATGTATTTTTACATTTAATTTAAAAAAAAAAAATATTTTTGTAGCTTTTTATTTTGGACGGATTGGGAGTTGGAAGAACCCTCGGTTTCTCGAGCCTATCTCAACGGTTCAAACATTAAAGTATTATTTACTAAACCCGTTGTAATGTGGCCTAATGGAATTACAATTGATCACATCGCCGAACGAATTTACTGGGTGGATGCTCGACTCGATTACATTGCCAGTTCCGATTTAAATGGAAAGCGATTCAAAAAAATTGTAGCAAATGATGTACGAACGTTTATTTAATTTAATAATTAAACTATATTTCTATGCATTTGAATAACTAAATTTATTTTTTTTTAGGAAAGGGCGAATCATCCCTTTGGCGTTGCCGTTTTTAAAGACTACGTTTACTGGGATGATTGGAAACAGATAAATATTTTTATGGCTGACAAAGATCATGGCGTCGGCATAGAGCCTTTATTAAAAAATATTTCTGCTCTTATGGATTTAAAGGTGTAGCATGCGTGGATGAAGTTATGTTTTTTAAATGTTGGAAAAAATATTTACAAGTGATTATTGTGCATTTTAGGTTTTTGCCCACGGTTTTCAAGAGGGAACGAATCCTTGCGGTGATCCTGCTCTAAACAAATGTTCTCATCTTTGCTTCGGTGGACCAGGAAATACTTATTCGTGCATGTGCCCGCAAAATATGGTTCTTTTTGATAATAATTGTTATTGCATTGGAAAAAAACAACCAGACGAAAATGGTGCTTGTCCCGCTGTTGAACACACGTGTTCTCCAAATTATTTTAAATGCGCCGACGAAAAGTGCATTCCCAAAAGTTGGGTGTGCGACAAAGAGAAAGATTGCAAAAACGGTTTAGATGAAGTAAGTTTCAGAAAAAACTTAGCTTTTTTTTTTTTTTTTTTTTTGTTTTTTGCGTTCAATTTTAAAATAATTAAATTAAAAATATTTTTTTTTCAGATTAATTGTCCTGTTAATTCTTGCCCTAGCAACATGTTTGCTTGCCCATCGGGTCAGTGTATAAATTTATCTTGGAGATGTGATTTTGACGTTGATTGCAGCGATGGTGCCGATGAAAAAAATTGCACATATCCAGAATGTTCGGATGAGGAATTTAGGTATTTTAAATGCTTGATTTTTATGAGAGATCAGCCTTATTTAAAATTAAAATAACGCAAAAAGCTTTTTTTGGTTTCGGTTAGGTAAAAATTCTTTTAAATATTAAACAATTTTTTATGCGATTATTTTTTTTTTTACTTTAGATGTAAAAATGGTCGTTGCATTGAGGCTCGCTACAAATGTGATTCAGAAAATGATTGTAAAGATAATTCCGATGAAGAAAATTGTCCGGTACCTGCAAAGAACACAACTTGTAAACCCGACGAATTTAAATGCGAAACTTCTTGCATACCTAATTCATGGCGTTGCGACGGTGATAAAGATTGCGTTAATAATGAAGATGAAACAAATTGTACGATGGGAGCTTGCGATTCTTGGCAATTCCAAGTAATTCCCTTCATATTTTGATTTCATTTTATATTTAAAATTCTCTAAAATATTAAATTATGAATTTTTTTTTAGTGCAAAAATAAAAAATGCATCTTTCAAATTTGGGTTTGTGATAATGAAGATGATTGCGGAGACAACTCGGATGAACTTGATTGCAAATTGGAAAAAGAAAATACTAAACACAATCAATCTCAAAATTCTTGCAATGCTTGGACTTTTAAATGTGACAGCGGAATTTGCATTCCCTTATGGTGGAAATGCGATCAAATAAACGACTGTAAGGATATGTCCGACGAAATAGGATGCGATTCGGCTGTTTCGAATTCGAAGCCAACTGTTCCAAACATTCCGCATCCGAAGACTCCAACGTGTAAAGAACATCAGTTTAGGTGTTTTACCGGTAAAAGTTATTTTGATTCATTGATTTTTAAAATCCTAAGGGTCATAATAATAATTTATTATAGATGCATTTAAAGTACTTTTTCTCTGTTATTTAATTTGTATAGGTGAATGTATTGAAAATTCATGGGTTTGCGACGGGATGAATGATTGCGATGCAGGGGAAGATGAACTTAATTGTCAAAAAGATGAGAAATGCGAAAGCAATCAATTTTTATGTCGGACGGACGGCTCTTGTATTTTCCTTAAACAAGTTTGCAATGGAAAAGTTGATTGCCCGGACGGATCGGATGAAAAGGATTGCGAAACGGAAAAAATTCTTCCGAGTAAATTATTATTATTGTTTTTTTTATTATAATTGTTTTTGTGTTTTTTTTTTTTTTTTTAAAATTATTTGTGAGAATAAAAAAAAATTGTTTTTTCAGATCCGGCCACGCCTAGCTGTCAACCGGGATTTTTCCCTTGTGACGGTTCCCGTTGCATCCCTCTTGCTTACGTATGCGACGGCGATCAAATTTGTTACGACGGTACGGATGAAACCAATTGCGAAAATTTTAAACGTGTTTATCAAGTTTTGGAAATGGGAGTCGATCACAAGAGTATAAATTCTACGAGTTTTCTTTTGTACTGGTGGATTTCTTTACCGGAAAACATAAAATTTCAATTTCTTCCATCTATATCCGAGGTAAAGTACTTTTTTTTTTTTTTTTTTTTTTTTTAAAATTTAAAAATACATGTATAATAAAATATTAAAGTGAGTAAGTAAATTTAATTATTTTAACGAATTACAGAACATTGATAACAAATTAAAAGAATGGAAAAATATGTCTTGGATAGAAGATTCTGAATATCGTTTTGTCAATTTAAAACCTTACACCACGTACACCATGACAGTTTATGTGAGATTAGCCAATGAAACTGAGGCTTTTCCAACAGCTGAAAGAGTTGTATCCACAACACTGGCGGGAGGTAATAAATAAGGATTTTTTTTTTTACTTTTAATAATAGTTATTACATTGCTATAATTTTTTGGTATTTTCAGTACCCTCTCCACCCAGGGAAGTTAAAGTCAAGCAAATCTCTTACATGTCAGCGGAAATATCATGGCTTCCGCCGAAAATACCGAACGGGCCGATTAATGAGTATACCGTCAGAATGACGCCTCCTGTACCGGCCATTTCCAAATCGGTTATAGGATCCACTACTAAGCTAGTCATCAAATTTGAATTTGTTCAAAATCAAGAATATTCTTTTTGGGTGAGAAATACAAGGAATTTCATAATTATTACATAATTTTTTTTTTTTTTTTTTATAACGGTTAAAAATATTAATTTTTTAATAATAATAATAATAATAGGTAACGGCTAAAAACAACGATTTTGAAAGCAACGTTTCAAATCATGCAGTTTTAAAGTTTGATTCTTTGGCATTTATGGAACCGGTTAAAAATCTCGCGGTTTATGGTATAACTGAAAATACGGTCACTTTATCTTGGGATCCTTTGACCAATGTCGATGGCTATTGCATTCAACCATTAATTCCGTTCGATCTTTCTTACCCGAAATTGCCAATGATCAATACTACGAGTGGTGTTTCGTCGATTACGAGTAAGAATTTTAAAAAAAAAAAAAAAAAAAAAAATATATATAAAAATTAAATTGTAGCCATATAATAAATATTTTGTTTCAGTAAATAATCTTGCTCCAAATGTTGCATTTAAATTTGAAGTAAGTGCCTTCAGAAAGAATTTCATTGGGCCGGCATCTAGTGTTGAAGCCCAGACTCGAGGTATATCGCTTCCAGCCATAACTGGACTCACTGGGAAAATCGTTCCCTCGGAGGGTACCGCCGTACATCTTTCTTGGGACAGTCCTCAGCATCCGTTTAAGGTTAAATGGTCGTACGGAATATATAAAGCAGTAAGAATGGAAGAACTTTTTAAAGGTGAGTATAAAAAAAAAAAATTCACGTTATTATTAAATATATAATGAGTGTTTTTGTGTCTGTCGTTTCATTGTTTACAAACAAATAATACGAACATGACAACATATATTTATATATTTTTTTGTTTTAGAAACTCCAATAGTTGTTTCCAATCTGTTTGCGACCGTTTCTAATTTAGAAGCTTGCGAATCTTATTTATTTAATGTGGGATTAGTAAAACCTTTAGGAGTCGGACCTCTTTCTCCTCCATTATTAATTACAACCTCGTTTAATAAAAATGCTCCGCCGAAAAAACTCAGCGTCAAACCTCATCCGAAAGATGAAAATTCGATGATAATTCAATGGGAGTCGAGTTGTAAAGTCGTCATGGAACCCATTGGCTACGAGGTAAGGTTAAAATATTTTCAATTTTGATTGTCAAATGAGTTTATTAAAAAAAAAAAAAAACTTTCAGATTGTGGTTACGGAAATCAACCTTAATAAATCCTCATCGGTAACGTTACTACCTAAAAATGACACTAAATTCGAGCACACGTTCAATACTCATTTCGGAGGGAGGTATAGCATCGTGGTATCGACAACCGCTGATAAATCAATACCATCGTTACCCGTTTATTACGACGCACCGGAAATTCTTCCTCCCCATCAAGTTCAAGTTTTAATCAACGGTAGCAGTTTCTACGTTTTGTGGAGGCAAAAAGAATTACCAGAATCTCTTGAAAGTTCCTCGTAAGATGCTTTTTTTTTTTTTTTTTTTTTCACGACGACCTTTGCAAATCAAACTGTTTCATTTAAAAAATGTAAATCTTTATTTAATTTCAGGTACAAATATAGAGTGTACGTTTCCAAAGGGAAGAAGAAGAAAACTTATTTATTGGAGTAATTTGAAATCTCTTTAATTTTTAATGAAAAAATTTAAGGAAAACTGTAGTTACCCCCCCCCCCTAATTATTTTATTATTATTATTATTATTATTATGTTTAAACTTTATTGAATTTAAAAGAAGGAACAGTATAATGTAAAAATAGTTTAGTTTAATTTTCTGATGTTGATTGTATCGTGCCAATTTTACCGACATTTTTTTTTTTTTTTTAAAACAATTTTTCTAATAATTTAAAATGTAATTTTTTTCTCTCTCTCTTTCTCTCTCTCTCTCTCTTTAGAAAGAGAAAGAATTTTTTTTTTGTAGAAAAGAAAATGTGTGCGTACAAACTCAGAAACTAAACTAAACTAAACTAAAAAGAAGAAGAAAATTTATATTTTTTTTATTGGTTATAATTACATTTTTATATTATTTTATGTAAAATAATAATAATAATGATAGGAAAAAGCAGAGGGAATTTGTGGAAAAATTTACTGTAAAAAAAAAAGGATATAATGATGATGATGATGATGATGATGATACGTTTGTAATTTAAAATTGGAATCAAAGTTAAATAGTGTTATTATTATTATTATTATTATTATTATTATTATTAGTAACTCATAAAAATTGTACAAAATAATAAAATAAGATAATATTGCAGGAAGAAAGGCTGAAAAAAAATATCATAAAAATGTTAATTAATTAATTAACAATTTATTTTTACGATAATGTGAATAATTATAAGAATGCATAATATTTTAATTTGTAAATTGTATTCTAAAAAGGTATTAGAATACAAAAAATTAATAATAATAATAATTGATTAATTGATTTTTTTTCTTTTTGTGTGTATAAATGTATTTTTGTCTGCTTTTTACTTTATTTAACTTCTGTGATAAATAAAATCCAAAGAATAGTCGTGTTATTATTATTATTATTATTATTAATTATTATTATTATTATTATTATTATTATTATTAATTATTATTATTATTATTATTATTAATTATTATTATTATTATTATTATTAATTATTATTATTATTATTATTATTATTATTATATAAAACGGTTTTCTTAATTAAAAAAATTTTTGTAAATTTAATTTGTTTATTTATATTAATTTCCTCCCTCCATATCTCTCTATTAATAAAAAAAAAAAAAAAAAATTAATTTAAAAAAAAAAATTAAAATAAAATAATCGTATTTAAAAACTACCGTATTCCCCGTATCGTTTTCGAACGATTAAAAAGACCTCCTAAATATTATGTTTTACGGATACATTTTGGAAATTTTACATTGCGTTGTAAATGAAAAATTAATCGCAATGACCGCAAATGACCCCGACCGAGCGAGTAATTATTTTTCATATAATTGCATATTAATCGTGTTTAATGTAATCTTTCCTATATAAAATATATATTATTTTATATATATATATATATATATATATATATATATATATATATATATATTATTTATTGATTTATTAATTGAAAATAAGAAAAAAAAATTATATACGGGATAGGAATAAATAAATTATTTATAATAATAATAATATAAAATTTAAACAAAATTTATTTATTTATTTATTTTTCTATAAAGTTAATTTGTACATACAAAAATAACTAGATTTATTATTATTATTATTATTATTATTACATAATACAATACTTATTATTAAACAATTATTATTATTACACTTAAGTAAATTTATACTTATTATATATATATACTTTGTTATTTAAAATTAACATTTATATATAAATCAATATGGCACTTAAAAGTGTACTGAGAGTTTTATATAATTTAAAATAATAATAATAATAATAATAATAATAATAATAATAATAATAATAGTAATAGTAATAATAATAATAATAAAAAAGTGCCTAATTTAAACAACGAAGAAAAAGCAGAAGAAAATTAACTCGAAATTTTTATTACTTTGGCTTTTGTTTTAAAAAGAAAAAATTAAATTAAATCTAAAATCTTTTTTTTCCTTTTTTTCCTTTTTCAATCCTCGACTCATTCATCATAATTCTTTTTTGTTAATAAATATTAAAAAAAAAAAAATGTCAAACCAAGTGAAACAATCTCAGTTACTAACACACACGCAAAAAAAAAAAAAAAAAAAATTATTGTAATCCAAATATGCTGGGTATGTTACCCGGAAAAGCAGGAACAGGTACGGGTATAGGCATAGGAACTGATATAGGAATATGAGATTCGGAAAAACGTTCGACTAATTCTTGCCTTTGAGTTTCGAGGTGGGATTGCAAAAGTTGTCTTTCCGTTTCTTGCCTGAGAAGTTCTTCTCTTTCTCTCTCGGTTATTTGTCGCAATTCTTCGTTTTGTTCCACAAGATCATTTTTTAATCTTTGAACTATGTTTTGCTTTCTCGGTAGTACATATTCTTCCCCGTGTGTTATTTTGCAATGTTCTTCCATTTTATTACGTCTAAGAAAACATTGTCCGCAAACGGGACAACTGTGAGGAGGTTTTTCTCCTGTGTGAATCCTCAAATGACATTTCATATTCCACGCATCTGCCAAAAAAAGGTTTTTTTTGGAAAAGTATTCCTCGATATTTTCACATTAAAATATATATATATCTCACCCGAAAAAGCCTTTTCGCAAAATGTACAAATATAAGGTTTTTCTCCAGAATGAACTCTTAAATGTTTTTTTAAATGTCCTTTGATTCTAAAAGCCACGGCACATATTTCACATATAAAAGGCTTTCTTCCGGTATGCGTTGACATGTGGTCGCTAAGTCTAGAACTAGATCTTTAACAAAAATATATAATTGTAAAATTATTCATCGACATTTTATTCAAGTCATTAAGTCACATCCAGTGCTCACCTAAAAGTTTTTCCACATATTTTGCACACGCAAGGTCTTTCGCCAGAATGAACACGTTTATGAGTCTCCAACGTCTTTTTGTACAAGAAAGATTTTCCGCAAATATCGCATAAATGACTTTTGTTTCCCACGTGGATTTTAACGTGAATACCCATATTTTTACCGAGAACAACTTTACCGCAATGAGTACACGCTCGAAATTTCGATTTAGAACCATCTTGTTCGATAATAGGGCTAGAATTATTACTTATGAGATTTTTCTCTCTCGGTGCATATTTTCTTCTAGGTTTCAAATCGAACAAATTTTCCCACGTTTCCCCATTCATAATAGTATTTTCATTTTTAATTTTAAAATTTTGAGTTTTGACTACTTTTATTTTTGGTGATTTTTCCTATAAGAAAATTAAAATTAGTAATGTTGACCCCCCCCCACCACGGGATAACTAAATCCAATCTTTTAATAAATACCTGATTTTTAGTTTTTTTTTTCATTTTATTATACTCCGAACCCGGAATAAAAATTTTTTTATGAGAATTATAATTTGGATCGTTTGTATATTCGTTTGTTTGAAAAAATCGTCTGCTTGGTTTTGGAGTTTGAAGAATTTCAAGTTTGGGTTTTATTTCCCCTGTAAAAAAAAAAATAAAAATATTATCACTTAAAGTGTATTTTGTTCCTGAAATATTTTATCCATTACTAAATTAATACATTTTTCAATAATTATTTTAGATATAAGTAAAAATTTAACCTGTTTCCTCATTACTATCTTCCTTATTAATTATTTTTTGTACTTCCGTTTCCGTATTACCACTCTCGGCGGACACCTTAGAGAAATTTATAAGTTCACTAATTGGTTTATCATCTTCTTCGTCATTATCTCGATCTTCATTTTCACCTTTTATAATAGCCGATTGATCGTAAGTGACTTCCGGTTCCGTTTTTATATCTAAAGCTTCTTCATTTTTAATTTGAATACTTCCTGTCGGATGTTCCGAAATTACTATTTGTTCATCTAAATATTCTAGTGGGATAGCTTCTTGAGTTTCATTCTGAAAACAAAATCAAATTACATTTATTATTATTATTATATATTCAATGTTTTTCTACTATCGGAATTTTACACCATTCTTCATCGAAAAAAGTACTCGTTACTTTAAATTATAAATAAATTATTATTATTATTACCTCAATGCTATCCTGTACTTGATTGTTAGAAGAATTATCTAAATTCTTCAGCCTATGAACATATTTTTGAAGTCTTGTATTGGCAGCATCACATTGTTCTCTAAAAGTGTATGCTTGATTAACATTCCACAAACACTTGGGGCAAATTTTCGAAGGAAGGCCATCACCCTGGTATACCTGCAAGGAAAAAAAAAAAGTAAAATTTATCTATTTAAAATATAATTACACTGTTAAAATATTAAATAATGTTTACCTCTAATGAAGCACAGCTCATAATTCGAATTGGTAAGGGTGTAGTATTGTTTTTTTTTTTCTTAGTAAATATTCTTAACATAGATGTTTTTTCTAAAAGGCATAATCTACATATTTTATCAAAATCTAATATTTCATTTTCATCCGTTTCGACATTCAAATTAGTAGTCATGTTGTAATATTTTCTCAAACTGTAATAAAAATTTAATTATATTAAATTTTATTATTTCCTTTAAATAATAATAATAATAATACATTTTTTTAAAAAAACTTACATTTTTTATGTACTGCATATGTAACACAATTGAAGCATTTAACTTTTTTTTTTTATATTTTTAGTTTGAGTTGGTTTAGTAATATTTTTTTTTTTTTTATAAAAAAACTAATAAAAACATATTTTAACAAAAATTAAAATTTAAAGCATTACATTAATAATGGTTAATACATTTTCTTTTTTTTACAATAAATGCCTGGTTTACATGTGATGAAAAGGCTTAAAAATACTTTATAAAAACATATACATACACAGTATTTACTCTATATCAAAATGGCGTATCATTAAAAAAAAATATTAACTCGATTATATTAGTTAATAGAAAATATAAAACGTAAAAAAAAAAAAAAAAAACCGACAAGACATTGATTTTGCCTTTTTACTATAAAAAATATTAAATATGATTGTTTAAATTTTAGTAAATCGAAAAAGAAAAAAAACGCACAATAAATTCATGCATTCGTTTAAGTAGAAAAAATTTTTTAACAATACATTTCAATTTTAGAAAATCATGATACAAACAATCACTTACACTAAAAATATAAATTATTATTAATTTAAAAATAGTTTAAATAAGTTTTTTTTTTTAACGATAATAATAAATTTAATTAATCATAAATTTATTAATTTGTAAACAACACACACACAATTACTTCATTTTATTTCACGGCCTTTTAGTAAATATAAAATGTGAGAAACGCAATAACTGCGATATATTCATTGGATAAACAATTTTCCCTAATTGTAATTTTCATTGACAGATTATAAATATTTAAAAGTATTTTTAAATAAAATATATAATTATAAATAAAATATTATTTATAAAAAGCGAGAATATAAATTTTACCATCGACTGTGTCATCAATTACATCAATAAAATAAACATTATTATAACTTTCAAATGATAAACCATTAATAATATTATTTGGTTGGTTTTACTTTTTTATTATGTAATTGTTGGCAACAATGTTTTTGGCGCTAAAAAATCTCAACGGACATTTTAAAATTATTCGACGTAATTGTTAGACGTACAAAAATTGTTTTTTTTTTTTTTTTTTAAATTCAAAACCTTTTAAGTGATTATTTTTGTGTTTGTTTGTAAAAGTAAAAAATTTAATTAAAGTTATTTCAACGGTCAACCATCTTGTTGTCGAAATTACAAGTAAGAAAATTTAAATATTTCATATTAAAAAAAAAAATCATTTAAATTTAAAACTTAATAGGTAATCGTTAATTAAATAATCTATCACTATACTTAAAAGTATAAATAATAAATATAAATAACATTAAAATATTAAATAATTATATTGATTTATATTTAGCATTTTCACACAAAATGTCGGCTTATTTAAATTCAACACACAATATATAATCTATCGTACAATTATAAATAAAAACTTTTTTGTCATCAATTAATTAATTAATTAATTTATTTATTTATTTATTATTGACTTTTATGCATGCAATACTACATTTAAAACAAACAAAACCAAATACACTTGAGCCGAAAAACAAAATCATACACTTAAGTATAATTAATAAGAAAAATCAATCAAAATAATAATAATAATAATAATAAATTTCTCATATGTGATAACATTTTAATACTAAATTATAATTTTTTTTTCATTATAAACAAGAATTAATGATAAGACACAGAGAGATAGAGAGAGAAAGAAAGAGTGAGACAGATAGAGAGAGATAGAGAAAGAGATATACAAAAAATATAAATTATCATCATCATTATATTTTTTGTAATTATTATTATTATTATTATTATTACATAATTCATCTTTCTTTCTTTCCTTTATTTGTTATACTTTTAGTCAACGAAATATATATATATATATTATAAAATTTAAAAGAAAACAAATCATTGATAGTAAAAAAAGTTAATTAATATTTTTTTTTGTACGGTGTAGAGCATATTTTCTTTCTCTTTTTATTTATTTATTTATATTATTAAATAAATATATAATGTATGATTTATACACAGTTGTACAATAAGACACTTAGTGTTTGCTGATATTAACAGCAAAGGCGAAAAAGGTTTAACTAAACACGTGGTGTGATTTGTGACTATTATACACACACACACATATATATAGGGGGAGGGGGAGGGGGAGGGGACACGTGTGTGTGTGTGTGTTTTCTCTCGATAAAATACATTTACATATATACAAAACAAACAAAAAAAATTTTCATTAATTTTAAGTTTTTTTTTAAACACTCATCAACATTATTATTATTATTATTATTATTATTAACCATTTAGTGATGATAAGAAATTCACCATGATGATAATAATAATAATAATATATATATTATATTTATACGTCGAGATTAATAAATAAATAAAAATGGCTACCGCTAATAAAATAAAACAATATCATTATTATTATTATTATTATCGTCTTTAATTTTTTCCCACGGTTTTAATAATTTCGATAAATAAATAAATAAATAAAAAATTATTAATTATTTATGTATGTGTCCGTGTTTCCGGATAAAAAATAAATTTGAAGCACATATTTGGCACTAAATTTTCTTTTTTAATAAAAATTCCGTCCGTTCGCAGTTTAATAATAATGATAATAATAATAATAATAATGATAATAATAATAATGATAATCATAATAATGATAATAATAATAATAATAATAATTTTTTCAAAAAGTCAACAATAAAAAAAAAAAATGCCGGAAAAGTTTAAGGAGTTTTTTAATTAATAGTCTTTAGAAATTTTTTTTTTTTTTTTAAACGCATTCGAATAAAAATCTACGCGATTATTATTATTATTATTATTATTATTATTATTATTATTATTATTATTATTTCATTTGTTTTAAATAGATTCATCAAAAAAATAAAATTAAATAAAATATTAACAGTTAATTAATTATTTAAATAATTTACTTGCGGTAGGCACTTTTATAATTAATTAATTATACTGATAACGCGCGGGCGAGTGCGCATGCGCACTCAAGAATTAATTTTTTTTTTTTTTTGTTTAGAATCCGTAATCGAAACTTTCCCATTCGGAAAGTTTACTTTCTTGTTTTTGAAGTCTTTGTTGACATTCTATTATGTAACTATCCTGTATTCTATACATACCTGAATTCGCTTGAAACATTAACGTTTCCAATATTCTTTCGTTTTTGATTGCTTTGCTCGGGAGAACGATCTGAAATCGGAAAATTTAAAGAAAAAAAAAATTTTTTTTTAAACGTACCTTGATGAGTCATACGCGATTTGTATATACCTTGATGAGTTCTTGAGGTGTGATCCTGTACAATTTCAAATCTCTCGCGAGCCTTTCCATTATGCATTTAAATTCCAATCTCGCATCGACTTTGCTCGACGTTTTAGTTCTTATTTTATTTTTTGCCCAAGCTAGCATGGCTTCGAATTTTCTTACTTCAGGCACCTCTAAATTTCTACACATGACCATTTGAACCTGGTGACGATAATTACGAGTGTTAACAAAACAAAATGAGGATGGGAATTTCATATTATTATTATTATTATATATACCGACCATGGATTCACTGAGTGTTAAAAAATCAGATGCTTGAAATAATTGATGCGCTCTAGTTTCGACAAAGGCTAATATCATATTGACCAATTCGGATGCTGAAGTGTATCTCCAGTAATAATTTTCCAGGGAACAAAGCATTGTGCAAACCTTAAAAAAAAAAAAAAAATTCAATTGAAGAAAATTCCCTTTTTTTCCCTTTTTTTTCCTTCATTAAATAAATGACTGATATAATTACCACGTCTATTCTTAAAAATTGTTTTGCATGATGAAAGCAAGCCTGTAAAAGTTCGGGTAAATCGTAATGTTCAGCAGCACATATCAATCCGGGAATGTTTGTACACGTCAAAGGACAGGATCCGGTGTGAAGATAATCTAAAAGAGTTCTAAACGTGTCCGGATCGAATTCAATGATTGAAAACTAAAAAAAAAAAAAAAAAATTTTTAAATCAAACATTTATGAAGGGTGTTCGGAAAATTTACGGGAATTTTTTTTTTTTTTTTGTAACTTACTTCCGTTTGGGCGAGTTTTGCACGATCTACTTTTTGAGCGTCCGCACAAACAGATAATCTAGGCACAGCCAGCTGAGGAATGTTTCCTTTTTCTTTTTCTTTGTCTTTGGTGTCTTTATCTAATTTTAAATATCATTTTTAATTATTTTACTTCTTTCGAATCCTTTTCTTTCCTTATGTGGTGAATACTTACTCGAACAATCTTGCGAAGAAGACCATTTTTTCTTGTCTTCCGCGGATAAATGAGAATGTTGTTTTCGAATTGATCTTCCCCAACCGGCAGTTATAGTTCCAAGTCTTGAAAAGGCTCGTTTCACCATCGGAGAACTAGGAACACTTTTCGGCCTTTAAATAAAACCCGCGTAAATTAAAAAATATTTTTTTTTATGTTAATATTTTTTTTTTAAAAAATGAATCATTTTTTACCTGGGTGATTCTATATCTGGAACTTGTAAAAAGTTGCTGCTTTTTGTTTTTTGCGGCGAATGTAATGTAGGAACGGCACGTGCCAACAATTCAGCAACTGGCACTTGAGGTGATCCGAAACCAGTCTGGATTCCGTAGAGCATTTCTTGAAATACTCTTTATATCGAAAAGAAAATTTTCCGATTTATTTTGGCTGTTGTTTAAACATTTAAAACTAAATTTACTCTTCTACTAACCTGCTTCGAACACCTAAAATAGCCCGAACACCGATAAACTTCGTCTTTTGCTTAGATTGTCCGACTAGGAAGGTTACGTCAAAAAGGTTAGAATTAATTGAAATGTTTGTCTCACTATTAAGAAAAACTTTTGTGAAATCTTTGGCGAGTGAATCGTAATCTTCGAAATTGTCCCGAACCGAATCTAATAGTGGACTACTTGGACGCATGTGTCCAATGGGTCGCCAAGAACCCCGCCTTAAATTTAACAAAAAAAATTATTATTATTATTATTTACAAAATTAAATATAAATAATTAGTATTACTCACCTGTAAGGCTTGGGAATTTGACCGGTCTCTGCGTGATTGGCTAAATTAGCGACTATATCTTCGAGCATTTGACTTCTCGTTCTCTCTTGCATTCTTGCAAATTTTGGAGCCGAATAACTGGCTCTTTCACCGTTTACAATTTTTGTTAGGAGCCATTCTCGAAATAAAGGTCCTTTGTCGAAAACGCTTTGTTCCCACAAGTAAGGCTTAAAGGCTCCAACTTCATCTCTTGTTACAACGCTGACTTCATAACGAGTAGGCTTTCTTTTTATTTTCGGTGAAGTTCTTATTAATATAAATGTGTGAAGGAAATGACTTTTTATGCAGCTGGGTGAGAATGACGTGTTGTCCGCTTCGAGAAACACAACGCACACGATATCATTTCCGATGTGACGTTTTCTCTGAAGCTTTTGCGGATCGTGTTTTTCGTAAGGAAGCTGAGTTGAAACGTGAAACATAATTTCAATTGACCTCCAATTGGTGTAAATGGAATACAAGCCTGTTAAATCATGAACGGTATCAAGGCCTCCCTTGTACTTGTCAAATCCTGAAAATAAAATTTTTAAAAAATTGTTATATGAGAAAGTTTTCCTGGATTTGCATAAAAATGAGTAAAAGTATTTAATACCTTTTAACCTAACTCTGTCTCCTAAAATTTGAAGGAATTCTTCGAACAAAGGACTATTATCATTATTATCCAAAATGACTTCTTCTGTGTACTGTCCTTCTTTCACGTAAAGCACTCCGACTTTCAATTCAGATTTTATGAAAACCTTTTTTTTTGTGTTAAAAAAAAATTAAATTATTTATGATTTTAAATTCAAGTGTCATTCATCATAAAGATTATTATTATAACTCACTTGATCTAATTTTAATAATTCTTCGGGAGTGTCAGGAAGTTGACCAAGAGTCAATGGAGGATTTATATTAACTTCTTTTCCTAACGATCTGACAACTTCTTCTCTGTTATATCGATCGGCAAACACACATGATGCTGGTATAAGTCCGTGGATTGTATAGCTGATGGCTCTTACCAAAATCCTTTATATATTTGAAACAAGAAAAAATTTATCGTGATAAGCGTAAAAAGAAAATCCGTTATAAAATGGTTTAATTTTAGTCTTAGAGATATTAAAGAGTTAAAGATGATAAAGGAAACGGAAACGTGGAAAATGAAAATAAATTAATCGTTAACTAACCGAAACTGATCTCTTCCGTTAATCGTTTCCTGTTTTATGCTGAGAATAACCGGTCCCAAATCTTCATCGTTAGTAAAATAATTCCAATGCTCCGTACCGTAAAAATATTTTTCATAAGTTTCTTGTTCAACGGAAGTCAATTCAAATCCCTGATTTCTCTCCCATTGTTCTTCAATTGCAGTTTTTTTTTTAAAAGGTGTGCTTTCATCTTCTTCGTCATCCTCTAATAAACAAAGTTCACGATTTCTCGATCTGTCTCTTTGAGCTGAAAAATAAAATCATGTTTTAATAATAATTCATTATCAAAATATGTGGGGGGGAGAGAGGGGGGAAGGGTATATATATTTCAAATAATTACAAAAACCTTGTTCTTCTTTTCCATCATTTTTTTGTTTATCCAAAGGAATTCCAGAATCTGTTTCTTCTTCTTCTTCATCTTCTTCGTGTACTTCTTGATCGGATTCACTTTCATCCCAAATAGTATCCGTATTTATTTTTTGTCTCGAACATTCTATCCAGTATCCTGGAGTCGGTATTAGATTGTGCGGAAATTCTTCACAAAATTCATCTATACGTGCAAAAAAAAAATTAAATTTTAAAATCAATCGATGGAATTTTATTTAAAAAATTAATTAAATTATGATTAACTTTTAAGCAGACTAAACTGTTTTTAATGAAGGTCAACTTTCATTTTCTCACTGTAAGGTAGAACACCAAACGAGAAAGCCGAAGCTTGATGCTCAACCTTAAAGTGAGCAGATGAAAGCAATTCCATTCTATAAAAATTCCATCTTCTATAAAAATAAAAAAACAATGGATAAGAAAAATATTTTTTTAAATATTTACCGGAACAAGCTTGAGGCGGAAGTGGAAATATGAGCGTGGTCGAAGATTTTCTCCTTGCGACAGCACAACCCAAACTCTGGGGTTTAAAAGATCGCAGTTGTTGCATGAAATCCGAACACTCCATAAGAGCCACGTCAGCAAAGTGTAAATCGCAAAGAATATGATTTTTGAAACGTCGAGCTCTTTTTTGGTTGGGCCCCGTCAAATTGAGACCGCAGGAATTGCAACGGAGGCATTCTTCGTGATAATGATTATTATCATATAAAAGTGAAGGCTCTAAAACACAACAATTACAATTAATCATTCATTTAAAATCATCGGGATTTACCCCCCCCCCTTCCTCCTCCCAAAAAAAAAGACACCTGTAATATTTACCTTTACAATTATTATTATTATTATTATTACTTGTTACATTCGCATAGTTTTTTTTTTTTATCACTCGATTATTTTATTAATGATGATAAGGTTTTTATTAAAAAAAAAAAAAAAAATTTATCTCAAACGAAAATTATTTGTTACATGCCCCTCAAATAAAACCCTTTACAATTATTATTATTATTTTTCTTTTCTACTCCTCTTCGATATTTACTGTTTTTATTAATCAAAATAGAATCAAATATGGGATCTAAGTAATTATAACCGAATATTAATTCATTTACCAGTAATTAAATTTATCTACACGGTATACACGTGGACGTGAAACCCTGATGATAAAAAAAAATTTAGGTACATGTAATGAAAAACAAACACCTTATTAAAAAAAGAAAAAAAAATTCAATAACCTCACTTCTATAAAATTAAACGTAGAAACTTGAGACTTTTGTGTGAGATTTATAAACGCCCTCTTTTAGGAAAATTTTTTTTCCTTTCGTTTTCATTTTTTCCACGGATGTATTACATGATGGCAACACAAACCGACCGACCGATTGTTTTATCATTCCTACATTACGCAAAAGCACAATTTTTTTTTTTTTCTTAATAAAATGTATGCATTATTTAAATTATATGAAATCGTTTGTATTTTGATAAAAAAAAAAAAAAAAAAAAAAAACGTGTTAACGGTTGTTAATAAAATAACATGTTATTTTAAAATTATTTTCATAATATTCACTATTATGTTACGATAATGATAGTGTTAATAATAATAATAATAGAGTTAAAAGCTGAAACGAGTAATGGAAAGCGATTACACTTAGAAAAGACCTCCTAATATATTGTGCGTGAAAAGTGAATGATCGTAATAATAATAATAATAATTATGTGATAAAAATATTTTTCGCATAGCAAAATTGCACAAGAAAATAAAATTTAAAATTAAAAATAATTTCTAACCTGTTTGAGTACTTATGTCAAAAAATGTACTCGAAGTTTCAACGGTCATGGATGCAAATGTTCCATCAGTTATTTGGGCGCAAGAATCTCTGCGACCTCTTGACCTGTTACATTCGTCTGATCTCAATGATTGTCTTCGAAAATTTCGGCACCTTAAAAATAAGATTAATAATAAATTTTTTTGAACGGATTAAAAGAAAAAAAAATAATTATTATGCATACCTAATCATTTCTTCCGTGGTAGATTGTCTTCGAAAGCCGCGAGCAATAAGTATTTCTTCGGTCGTACTTTGTCTTCTTATTGCTGGGGCATGTGTTGGAGGAGGTTGAGACGGCGTCGGTCCTCTTGTGCAGGGAGATGGATCCCTCGAAGAACAAGTACTCGAACTATCGGGGGATCTCGAAGGCTGGGTACTTGTGCCTGTAATTTTGTACCCTCCGGCAATTGAAGTGGATTGTCTTCTTAATCTTCCTAGTAATGCATATTACAAATAATTGTTTTTTTTTTAATTTTAAAAATTATATTCATTAGATTTTTACTATTTTTGAAAAAAAATACCTCTTCTTGTTCGAGCCACGGGCGATATATCTCTTTCAGCGGAACGATCTGGTGACAAACGACTTCTTGATTCTCGTCTACTTCGGCCACAGCTGGCGGAATCAGGAGATAAACTATCGCGGCGAGCTTTTCTTCCACTGCTGTCTTCTCCACTGGGATCCAAAGATAAAGTAGGTTGGGATTCTCTTCTGGAAGCGGGAGGCGGCAAAGATTCGTCTATTGCGGTGCTTTGTCTCGGTAATTTTGGAAATTTTTTCGGGTCTCTAGCCCTTCCATCAGGTGACCGAGAATCCCTTCGGTTTTTATGATAAACCTGGGTTGTAGAATCTCTTCTTGTCGAAAACAATGATGTCGGTGAGGCTCTGACGGGACTCGTCGCGGCACTGCTGATTTGCCTATCACTCGGAGGTGGAGTTATAGAGGGTAAAACGGGAGAAACAGCTTTTGGGGATATTGATTGAGATGTCACAGAACTGGTTATAATAGTTGGAGGAGGTAAGATCTGGGGGCTGGTATCGGTCGTTGTTGTCGGAGCAGAAGCAGAATCGCTTGCCGTCGAAGAAGTACTAGGTCTTTGTTCTGCTCTGTAATATTTGGCTTCAAATTCAGCTTTCGATGCCTTTCGCTTGTGATGCCTGCAAGAATGTTGCTTTTGAAATTTTGGTGGCGTGGTAATTGACGATGATGTCATGCTGTCTCTTCTGTTTTTCCCCGATTCGCCGGAACCTCTTCTCGAGTTAGCGTTGGAATTTCTTGGACTTTTTCCAGATTCTCCACTTCCGCGACGAATCGTATCAGATCTCGAAAGATTTCCATTTTCTATAGTCGATTCTCTCCGCGAGCCCCACAGTCTCGCTATATCAGATCGAAAATCCGAAATGGCCGTTGTCGATGAATCTCTTCTTTTAGTCGAAACGCTTTTTATTCCCGAATCTGCAGAGCTTTCTCGCCTTTTTTTCACAGACGAAGATTCGGTTGTAGTACCTCTACCCCATGGCAAACTTTTAGCCAAATCCGCTAATGTTTCTCTCCGACATAATTGAGCTTGTTTGCTACCGCGAAGACTCGATCGAGTTGTCGATCCTCCCCATTCTCTGAGAATATCTGTCAATTGGGCTAATGAACTTCTCCTCCGACGAACCTATACAAATAATATATCAATATTCAACTGTTACGAATTATACCCGTTTTTAAATGTCTTTCAATATTAATCACGTACGGCTACCGAATGAGGAGGAGACGTTTCTTGAGCCTCCGTAGGTGGACTTATGCTCGTTATCTGAGCAGCGGAATCTCTTCTTCCTGCTCCCAATCTCTGTCGAAGAGTACTTTCTTCCATTTGTTCTCGTACCAAATCGTCCCATCCATTTCCTCCTTGCCAAACTAATCCCACTTGATGAGAAAGAATGGGAAGATTGCACACAAAGCAAATCGCTGTCATTGTTCTAAGATTAAAAAAGAAAAGAGCTGAACGTTTTTGAAAGATAATTTATCTTAAAAAAAAAAACAATGAAATCGGAAATGAAGTTTTAATTAAATGTAAATGATTAATCATTTTATATCGAAATTAAAAGTTGGAGATAATCATTAAATTTATATTATATTATCATTAACATTTAAACCCCTCTCCCTAACAAAAGAAGGGAAATATTAATAATAATAATAATAACAACAGAATATAACGAATTCCTAATATATAAAAAAAATATTTGGGAATAATGACTTTTATCGATAATAATAATAAGTTTATTCAACATTCAAAGTTTCCTGTCAATTAAGTATTGAAACTGTATTTGACCCCAGCTCAACCCCCCCCCCTACATTTGACCTCTCAAAACTCAAGTAAATTATTTTTAAATTTTTTTTTTTTTTCTAAATTTTTCCTCAAGGTAAATTCATTGATTTCTTTTTTAATGTATAAAAGAAGCAGAAGATGAAGGAGGAAAAAAAAAATGAAAGATCTTTTCTATAAATAAATTGAAATGAATCCAGTTTCTCTTAAATCCACCTGTTGCCTCGAGAAAAAAAAAACGATGTTTTATAAAATTGTTTTGTTTTATTTCATTAAAAGCTTCTGTTTTTCCGTTTAATATCATTATTATTATTTTCCTTTAAGGGAAAATAATTTTATTTCTGTTTTTTAAAAATACTTATTTTTTTTTTTTATATTATAAAATTTTAATTGATATTTTTAATTTACTAAAAAAAAAAAAAAAAGGAAAATCATGCCGGAAATAAAACAAAACAAAACAAAAACTAAACAAAATAAAAAAGAAAAGAAAATTTAAATATTTATAACATTTTATGTTTTTAATAATCGACTTAAAAATGTTTGTTTTCCTTTTGGTAAATAATAATAATAATAATAATTTCTTCGTCTGTCGTCGTTTTCAGGTACGAGAGGTCAAAGTTTACAAAAAAAAAAACATAAACATTCGACGCAACGTTTTATACGTCACTAATAATTAATAATTTTCTCCAAGTGTTTTAAAGGTATCAGGGTCGTAAAAAAAAAACCGGAAGTTAAATGAATCGTGACGTATAAATCACAAAGGTATAATAATCACGTAAGACGTAAAACCTTTTTTTATTATTATTATTATTATTTTTTTTCGACATGAGACGACGATACGTATAAATAACGTAATAATAATAATAATTTGATTAAAATAATCGACCGAGGGTTAAAAGAGGGTAAAAAGAAAAATTTTTTTTTTACAACGCGTAAATACAAAACGGAAATGACGTAATTTAATCTTTTTTGTAAATATTCAAAAAAAAAAAAAAGACCTCCCCCCTTTAATCGCAAGATTAAATAAAAATAATTTGTATAAAAAAAAAAAAAAAAAAAATTACAGGAGATGAAAAGAAAACGTTATTAATAATCTTTTTATTTTTTTTTAACGAACCCGAAAATTACAAGGTGAAAGGTGAAAAGTGGGGGGGGGGGGGAGGGCGTGCGTAATAATCCGTATATAAATTAATAATAAAGACTAAAAAGATTAAAAAAAAAAAAAAAAAAAATTTTCTCCTTTTTTTCTTTCGTTTCCTTTCTTCAAATAAATTATGAGAATATTTTAACTTGATAAAAAAAAAAAAAATTTTCCACGTTTTTTTTTATTATTATTATTTTTTGTTACGACGAAAGAGAGAACCTTTTACTAGAGGCAAAAACTTAACCTTTTCAACCTGTTGATTGTTTTATACCTTTTTTAAAATGTAATTTTATTTAATTTAAAGAGTAAAAAAAATTCTTTTTTTTTTTTTTTTTTTAATTGAGGGTCATTCAAAATTTTTTTTTTTTTTTTTTAAATTTTGAATTCTTTGCACAAAATATTATTATTATTATTATTACGAAATTTGTATTTCATAGCTTTAAAAAAATTTTCCTATTTTTTTTTTAAAATGAATTTTCCGTTTTACGTCGAAATGAATAAATTTTAAATTATGTCAAATTTAATTTAGTTAATTTACTCAAAAATTTAAATTTTCCCCCTCCCCACCCTTATTAACCGTGTTTGTTGTTGTTGTTTTTTTTTTTTTTTTCAAAAAATAAACAATAATTGACAAACGAAAAAATAAATAAATGGAAAACAAACAAATTTAAGTCATGAGTTAAAAAACTACAAAATGTTGACCGTTGGCTATGAAAAAAAAAAAAAAATTGTTAGCAGATTAAAAAAAAAATGGGGGTTAAGGGAGGGAGGGGGTTTGTGCTTTATTGAATATTAAAATTTAGCCGTAAGCAAATTTTTTTTCCCTCCCTTCCCCCTTCCCCCCTCTCCCCCGTTCAATTCAAAAAAAAAATTTATAAAAAGCTATTTTTATATCGTGAAACAAAAACATAAGCAAAAAAAATATAATATTAATAATGATAATAAATCTTTTGCGGTTTTAAAAAGAAAATTCATGCAGATAAAAAAAAAAAAATATCATTCTTATCACGTCTCGTAAGTGAATGTTATAAAACATGAGCATTCAAAAAAAAAAAAAAAAAAATTAAATGTAAGCGTTTGAAAAAATGAAAAACGCTTTAATTAGCGTTTTTTATGTATGTAGTTAGTAAATAAATAAATAAATAAATAAATGTTTATGCAAACCAATTAAAAAGAATGAATAAAAAGTAAAGTTAGTGGTGAGCATCCAGAATGAACCAAGTGCTCGTTTTTATTCCAACTCCAAATCGTGCAGAAAAAATAATTTTTTTTTTTTTTTTGTTTATTCCTCCTTTTTAATAATAAAATAGAAAACCTGTAACTGCGAAGGCGTGTAACAGGCATCTCCATATCTCATTCTGCACAACCTGAAATTAAAATTATTTTTCTATATAAGGTTTTTTATACAAATGAAAAAAAAACATATTTTTTTTTAATTATTATTATTACTAATTATTCCCAAAAGGAAAGGAAAGGAGGATATCATTCCAAAATTTTAAACTTGTGAAATTTGGCATTTGATTAAAATATACAGTAGGGAAGAGAAAAGGGAAGATAAGGGAAAAAAACGGGTTTTTAAAGGAATCAAAAGGATTAATCAACTTAATGCCAGGGAAAAGTTAATCATTTTGTGTCGTTTTTTTCAGGGAAAAACTTTTTTTTTTTTTTTTTTTTTTAATTAAAAATGAAAAATTTAATGAAAAAAAAAAAAAAAATGTCTATGAATATATACATATTCCATTCCATTCCTTTAATTTTATTTATTTACTTTTTTTTATTTAATTTTCTAATTAAATTTAAATAATTTTATGAAAAAAAAAAAATTGAACCTGAAATAAATTTGTTAAATGTCAATTTTTTTTTTTTTAAACAAATTTTCCTTTATTTTATATTGACATTAAAAATTATATTAAAAAAAAAAAAAAAATGGGGAAAACCAAAAATTTTATAAATATTATATATATATACAATAACTAAAATGAGAAACAATTTCTAAAAAATAACGGGGAGAGAGAAAGAGAGAGAGAGAGAGATCAATATCTGCGCTGAAGTTGTTGCTTCACAGTTTGCTCTACCAAAAAGTTGACATTCATATTTTAAATATTGTATTTGTTACCTATAAAAAAAACATTACTGAAAAAAAAAAACAAATTATTAAACCCCCCTCCCCCCCTAAAAAAAAAAAATTACAATTTTTTTTTCACAACAATTTTTTTTTAATGGAAAATTTTTTATGGGTAACCCGAAACTAAATTTAATTTTAAAAAAAAGAAAATTCTAATTAAAAAAAAAAAATAAGAAAACCAAAAGAAAAGTTTTTGATTTTTTTTTTATAAAGTTTTTTTTTTTTTGCGCAGGTTTTTACCTGCTCCCCGATTCCCTGATTATTTTACTTTTTTTTTTTTTGTTACCTTCATTTTATTATTTATAAATATTTTATAATATTAATAATAAAAAAAATGGAAAAATTTCCCGCAATTTTTAATTAATTTAAAAAAAAAAAAAAAATTACAATAATTTAAAAATTTTTACTTTTAAAAAACAAAAAAAAAATAAAAATGTAAAATTGACCTTAAAAAAATTACACGTGAACGAAAGATAAACCTTTTTTAAATTAAAAATCGAATGAAAATCTATATATAGCAGCTCCACAGGTAGCTGCAATGATGGTGGTTCCTCCTCACTTCTCCCATCTACCCTTTTTCCTTCTTCTTCCCTCCCTTTCCCCTTTCCCCTTTGCTAAACATCCCCAAAATTTTCCCTAAATATCCTTTTTTTTTAAAACAAAATTATTTTACCACACCGTGACATTTTCGGTTTGTTCTTTTTTTTTAATCAAATAATAATAATAATAATTTTTTTTTTTTAAATCTCTAACACGTGAAAACATATTTTGAGAGGTGGGGGAGAAGGGAAATGGGGAGAAGGGGGAAGTGGCGAAATTATTTGTTTTTTTTTTTTTTTTTTTCGAAATTTATTGCTCGATATTAAAAAATTTTCGTGCCGTATTTCATTAAAGATTCGAAAAGGTAATTATTATTATTATTATTATTATTATTATTATTATTATTATTATTATTATTTCTGATCGAATACATTTTTTTACAGTGATTTATTACCCCCCTCCCCCCACTCCTTTTTTTTTAAATTGAAAATTCTATTTTAAAAAATCACCAGCGTCAGTTTCTCGTATAAAAAACTATTAAAATTAATTGATTATGTTAACGGATGAAAAAATTTAAAAAAAAAAAAAGAAATTAAAAGTTATTAAATTAATGATGATGATGATGATGATGATGATGATGATGATGATGATGATGATGATAATAATAATAATAATAATAATAATAATAATAATAATAATAATAATAATAATAATAATAATAATAATAATAATAGTAATACTATTGTTGTTGTTAATAATTAATTAAAATTACAATGCGAATGAAAAGAAAATAAATTAATTAAAAATTCACCACCGATCAGGTATCTCATTAATTAATTA